CAATTTTCATCCCACATGTATATTACAGAACATTTAAGAATCTGAATAAAAAACCTAAAAGAAAACAAGTTTAAAGATAGGTTATTTAATGGTTAAAGACCAACTTTGGGACCTCTTGGAAACTAGAAGGATGAAATTTAAGACTATTAAATACAGGAGTAGAAATAGAATACTTATGAATCTATAATGACTAAAATGTAATTTACCCGTCAAAATTTCAAAAATCAACAGCCTTGAACCCAACCCTCACTTAACCTCTAGTATCTTCCCGAGAAGAGTGACGTTTTTAAATGCTTACTAGCAGAGAAAGAAAAGCAAATCAAAGACCAATTCAGTGATCGGTATTCAACTCCAAAAACCCTCTGCAACTACTCCAATATTACGTCCTAAAACCCCACAAGTTAGTTTTTTCACTCGACAAAGCTATCCAATTGGACTATTTTGATGGAAAATAATCGGCTTGATGCTCAATCAGCAGCGGAGAAGGCGGTGTCTGTGGTTGGATTTGGATATGATTTGACTAAAGATATTCGATTATCATCTTGCAAGCCAGGTTCTTTTGGGTCGCGATTGATCGAGCTAGACCTGACTCGAAACCAAGAGCTTTTTGTTCCTGGCGGGGTTGTTGTTCAAAACGTGCCTAATGGTATTAAGTGTGATAAAGGGGAGCGGACTAGGTTTCTCTCTGATGTTCTCTCTTTCAATCAGGTATGCCATTAATTCGGATATTAAAGATTTTGTGTGATTTGGAAACATATATATAGATGAAGTTGGAAACATATATATAGATGAAGTTGGAAACATATATATAGATGAAGTTGGAAACATATATATAGATGAAGTTGGAAACATATATATAGATGAAGTTGGAAACATATATATAGATGAAGTTGGAAACATATATATAGATGAAGTTGGAAACATATATATGACAATTGTTTTTTCAAGAATGGAACGGTTCCTTTTTTCTTATTCCTTTTCTAGTATTTGTTGTGTGCTGAGTGCTGACCATTAGATCAATGGTGCTAAATTAGGACAGTGACTGAATATGGATTAATACGAGACTACCCATTTTTCCAAATTTTACGAGTTTGATCAAAACAATGTCTGGAGTAATCTTTAGAGTGATTCTAATTTTGTGTATTGTTAATTTCATTGTAGATGTCGGAGAAATTCAATCAGGAAATGTGTTTAGCAGGTAAAATTCCCTCGGGACTGTTCAATGCCATGTTTGACTTGAGGGGTTGTTGGCAGAAGGATGCGGCTTCTGCAAAAAATCTTGCCTTTGATGGTTGGTTCATAACACTATATAATGTTGAGCTGGAAAGGTCCCATATAACGTTGTCTGAAGAGGTGAAGCATGAAGTGCCTGCTACATGGGATCCTGTTGCCCTGGCTGAGTATGTTCTTTTAAACTCAAAGCTGATCAACTTGTTTTAAACTGTTCTACTTGATTAATTGGAATAACCTGCAGAAAAATGATTTTGACCCGATGTTTTTCTTGTTATGAATAAACCAAGGATTCCAGGGATGTAGATGGTTCATATTAAAATACAGCTTAAAGAGTACTAGATCTCAATTTAACCCGCAGGTCCAACATGGCAATTTTTTTTCCTTCTGTAGAATCTATTTTAGCTCCCAAAAACAGCTCATTTTGATGTTTAAAATTAGATTATGGTTTTAGAAGACTCAAACATTAGATACATGAAGATAGTCAAGTAGAAGAGATTATTGAATAGGAAATTTTTTTATCATAGAGGCATGTCCTGAGGAGGAAGCACTTTGCTTCAATTTGCCATGTTTGACTTCAATAATACACAAATAAAACCTTTGATTATGATGAAATGAAACCTCAATCAACTTATTGAGATTGAATTAATGTTGATCTTGAATAAAATGATTTTCCAGGTTCATTGATAAATATGGCACTCATGTTGTTGTTGGGGTAAAGATGGGAGGTAAAGATGTGATGCACATAAAGCAGCTACAAAAATCAAATCTTGAGCCCCCTGAAGTGCAGAAGTTGTTAAAGGAATATGCTGATAAGAGGTTTTCAGGAGATGTAAATCCTGCTGAATTATCAGGAAAACCAAAGGTACATTAAATCTCACAAATAAGATACCCATCATTGTCATGGTCGCTCTCTAAAAACTTACTAGAGGATATAAAAAGCGTGGTGCATCACAATTCCAAGGGTGAGAAATGACTGAATGATTTTTCTTTCGAATTGCCAGCAATTATCACGGGGCTTGTAATATATAGGAAGACATGATGGTGATTAACTTTTTTCATTAAGGTATTCATGTTTACTGTTCCAGGATGAACACATTATACCTTGGGATTTCCATGGAGTATTTGCCCATTCGTTTAGGCCTCCTGTCATTGCTTCCATAAAGAATGGGGTGAGCTTCTTGGTATATGCTGTAACAAATGTTTGAGGCAACCTGCCCCAAACAGGTCAAGATTTTTATTTGATGAATTTTATTCCTATGCAGCATATAACGAGCATTTGTATCCGAAGAGGAGGTGTGGATGTTGGCCAAAGCCATAACCAATGGCTTTCAACTATATCACAATCGCCAAATGTTATTTCAATGTCCTTTGTGCCTATAACTTCTCTTTTGAGTGGTATTCGAGGCAATGGATTTCTAAGCCATGCTGTGAATCTCTACCTTCGATGTGTGTGCCTACCTCTCCTCTATATTTTGGTCTCTCAATGGCATTAATGTTTCGAGCATGCTGCAACCCTTCATTCAATGAATATGTAGGAGTTTACAAAACAAATGAACTGCATTCCATGACATAATGGCTTTGACACAAAACTTTGCATGTTTTTCTAGCCACACTTTTGAGTTTGAATCTGATTGGCACATTTAGCCTAATTGCAGATTTGTGCTTGTTTGACTTTTTGTTTGTGTGGTAACCATTTCCTGATCACTCCTTGCGTGGATTCAACTGAATGTCAGAGGATATGCAATTGGTTTGTGAACTATTGCAGATGTCGTGGAGGTTAATGCATGCATACATTTAGTAGATTTGATGCTCGATGATTCTCATCGTTTGGATGCATCCAATTCATTTATACTTGATAAATGATCACACTTGAATTTCCTTCATTTATGTTTGAGAAATTATTTTACTTGAATTTCATCATATCCTTCGTGTCTCCATTAGTTTTGGCACCTGCGCTCATGTTTCATCATCTATCATGCAGACAAACCTCCAATAGAGGAACTCCACCAGTTTTTAGAATTTCAGTTGCCTCGGCAATGGGCTCCAATATATGGTGATCTGCCTCTTACTCTCAAGCGCAGAAAACAAGCAACTCCATCGCTTAGGTTCACCATCATGGGCCCTAAGCTTTATGTCAATACCACACAGGTGATTTCTTGAACTGCAGCTCGTTAGAATTACTCATAGCATTGATTCCAAGTTCTTAAAATGGCATTTGACTGCTGCTGACACCTGTACCTGGATCCATTAAGGTGTAACTTATAAGCCTAGGTGTCCTTTCTTAAAAACGAGATAAGATAATCATCATTAGGATATGTCCATAGTCAGTATAATATAAGTAATCACCAGAGTGTGATTATGCTTTTCCAGAATTTAGCAGATAATCATCATTGTGGTTTTACTGTTCTTAAAGAATCTAAATCCATGCATTGCAGGTTGATTCTGGAAATCGGCCAGTAACAGGAATCCGGTTATATTTGGAGGGTAAGAGAAGTGACCATTTGGCTATCCATCTCCAGCATCTTTCCTCTCTTCCCAATATGGTCCAACTCTCAGATGATCTTAGGCAAGAGCCTACTCATGAACCTGTAGAACGAGGCTACTTTGAACCAGTTAATTGGAGCATATTCTCACATGTCTGCACTGCTCCAGTGGAGTACAATGAAGCCCGCATTGATGACTCTGCTTCTATTGTAACAAAAGCCTGGTTTGAGGTTAAGGTTGTTGGGATGAAGAAAGTTCTGTTCCTGAGGCTTGGATTCTCAATGGTGGCATCTGCAAGACTCCGCAGGTCAGAATGGGATGGACCTTCAACCTTGTCACGAAAATCAGGGGTCTTCTCGATGTTGATTAGCACAAGGTTCAGTGCAGGATTGAATCCACCTGAGAAGCCAGTGAAAGTGGACTTAAATTCTGCAGTTTTTCCTGGAGGCCCCCCTTTACCATCTAGAGCACCGAAAATGTCAAACTTCGTGGACACAAAGGAAATGGTGAGGGGTCCAGAGGACCCGCCTGGATATTGGGTCGTCACTGGAGCTAAGCTGTGTGTGGACGGTGGCAGAATCTCAATTAAAGTTAAGTATTCATTGTTAGCCATAATGTCGGAGGAGTCGATGATGTTCATGTAAGAACATGCAGAAGGGAACGAATGTGTTCATTCGTACTGTTGTAACTGTAAATGATAACAATGTAATTTTCTTAAAATACTATTCTTAAGGAAATCAGATTCATTAAATGTCATTTGGTCCAAAACTAGGACACAATGTTTTCTTGATCTGCTTGGCAGTTGGCATTTGGTTCTGAGTAAGGGGACCTTGCTGTGTCTGATTATCAGAAAATATAAAAAAATATTGAAACATGATGAAATTCATAATAACAACATGCCGGAAAGAATGGAAGTATGTTGAGACAGGGAGATGTAGGGACTTGGAAGCTTATGTGAATCAACAGCAACACAACATTGAGTTCTTATGATATCGAAGTATAATTTTTGAGTGAATGAATTTTTACTAATTACAGTAGTTTTCCCAGTTTAACTATGAAAAAATTTATCACTTTCTTTTGCCTTCTCTTCTGTACAAGTAGGATCTGAAATTGTAAATTCTGCTTTTTTACACATCCAATTTATGAACACTATTTTCATCAGCTCAGAAGCACAAAAAAAGTTCTCAAAGTAGAAGCTACAATGCATTGATGGTTGACAAACAGCCAAGGAAAGTCGATTTCTCACAAAAGTGGGATTGAAGAATAAGAAAGTAACAATCTGAAACTATGAAATTTTATTTATGGTTGCATTTGAATAACATTAATGTTTCGATTAGTCAAATAAAAAGATGATGATAAAAAATGAGGGTTTACAACAAATCTTAACATGCCCTTACTTGAAAAAGAATGTGCAAAATGTTATAGGAGTTTGTATACAGTTAGTACAACGAATGACAACACTAATCCTTGAATGTTACCAATAATCCCCGCAAGAACACGAACCATCTCTAAAATGGTGGAATCTGTTGGTATCTCTCACAATTATCTCCCTGGAGACTATTTTAGAAATGAACTTGAGCACAGTATGGCAGTCAAAACAAATTCGAAGATTCTTTTTCACTCTAATTGGAGCACCTGGTGGGGTAGCAATTAAACCAAAAGCCACTGCTAGTTTCTCGCTGTGGTGGTATAGAAGCTGCTCCTTTTCACTTCGTTCTACATCATGGAGGTCAATCTCAACCATAGGAACATATCCAGCTTTCTTCAATAGGTCACTCAGTTCATCAAGCTTTGCATATATTTCTGTACTTCTGGAATGGCTTCTGTCTCCTACTATGAAGGTGTATACCTTGTCTTTCACCTCAAGCCAACTCATTCCAGGCTCCTTCTTCACCTTGCCGTCTTTCATAAGTCTTCTTACCCGTGCTACTTTATCCCACATGCCAACTGATGCGTAAATGTTTGCAAGAAGAACATGGGTGCCTGACTTCTCAGGTTCCAAGGCAAGAAGCATCTCAGCAGCTTTTTCTCCAAGATCAATATTCTTATGGATTCTTGCAGCACCAAGAAGCGCACCCCACACCATGGCATTCGCTTGAAATGGCATTTTATTTACAAGTTCCATTGCCGCCTCTAATTTCCCTGCCCGGCCAAGGAGATCGATCATGCAAGCATAATGCTCTTGCATTGGTTCAATACCAAACAAAATTTTCATTGAATTGAAATAATGTTTGGCTTCGGCAACCAAACCTGCATGATTGCATGCACAAAGAACGCTAACTAGTGTTATATGATTAGGAGGAACGCCGTCTTTAAGCATCTGCTTGAACAGCTGGAGGGCCTCTTTCCCATACCCATGTTGAGCAAGTCCTCCAATCATAGCAGACCATGAGACTATCCCTCTCACAGGTATTCTAGAGAACGCACAACTTGCGTCATCTATACTTCCACATTTGGCATACATGTTAACAAGAGAATTTCCAGCAAAAATGTCTGACATGAATCCAAACTTCAAGATGTGAACATGAACTTGTTTCCCTTGTTCATATGCTGATAAACTTGCACATGCATTCAGGAGAGAACTACAAACAAATGAATCGGGCTTGATTCCCCTATCTTGCAATTCCAAATAGAGCCTTAAAGCCTCTTCACCCTGTCCGTCTCGAGCATAAGCTGTTACAAGAGAGGTGAATAACACCAAATCTACAATTGGGCTTTCTTTGAATACTCTTGTTGCATCTTCTACGTGGCCACATTTTCCATATGTATCGATAAGGCTATTCACAACATAACTGTCAAATTCAAACCCTGATTTCAAGGAAAGTGCATGAATTTGCCTGCACATATAGGTAGCCTGCAAGGCCGCTATAGATTTAAGAACTGTTGATAAAGTTGTCTGGTTGAATCCTATTCCCTCCGTGTGCATCAAAGGAAAAAGAGATGCAGCTTCTTCATCTTCCTCATTTTGTGAATGTCCTGAGATAACAGCATTCCATGCAATCATGTCTCTCTCTGGCATTAACTTGAAAACCAACCTTGCATCATCCATTGAGTTGCACTTGGAATACATATCTATTAGTCCAACACCCAGAAAAGAATCCGATCCCATATCCATCTTTATCAAGCTAGAGTGCAACTGTCTTCCCAATTCTCTTAGGGCCATTCCAGCACAAGCTTTTAGAGCACTTGATAAGGTAAACATATTTGGACACATCCCAGACTTATTCATTTCCCTTAACAATTCTAAAGCCCGATGGTGGTACTCATGAAGAACACAACCAGCAATAATAGCGTTCCAAGAAACAATATCAGGTTTTGCAATGTCATCAAGAACACTGCTAGCATCTTCAAGAATCCCCACTTTTGCATACATGTCAACAAGAGCATTCGCTGAGAACGGATCAGAATCATAGCCAAGCTTTATCAAATACCCATGAACTTTTCTTCCCTGAACAATATCCTCTAAACCTGTGCACACATTTATCATACTAGATAAACTAAACTCATTAGGCCTTATTCCACTCAAAACCATATCATGAAACAAACCAACTGCTTCTCCATGCATATCACTGTGGACATAACAAGAAAACAGGGCGTTCCATGAAACAACACTTCGATCAGGAATCGCGTCAAAAAGCCTCCTTGCATCCCTGAATCCTCCGCATTTGGCATACAAGATAACCAAACTATTTGCAACAAACTCATCACTATCAAACCCTGTAACCACCACAATCCCATGAACTTGCTTTCCTAACACTAAATCCTTAGTGACCGTACAAGCCTTGAGTACACTTGGAAAAGCAAACTCATTACACTTAATACCTAACAAATGCATCTCATAAAAGGCCAAAAATGCTTCTTGACAAAACCCATTCTTTGAATATCCAGAAATCAAAGCAGACCAAGAAACCAAGTCTGGTTCAGTACTCCTATCAAGCAGTTTCCTTGCATACCCAAAAAGTTGACATTTTGAGTAGAGGTTAACCAAATAGTTCCTTATTTTTGGGTCCTGAGATAAACCAAATTTGATTACACGGGCATGAATTTCCATGCCTGGAGTTAAGGATTTCGAGGCAGTGCATTTAGAAAGGAGCTTAGAGCATGATATTATGGTGGGTGTAGAGTAAAAATTGGTCTTTTGAGTTGTCAAGTTTGAGGCAGTAGTAGTGGGTTTTGGGTTTTGGCTAAACTCAATAGAGGTATTGATAAATTTAGTGAAATAGAGAAATGGGTTTTGGAAAGTGAAGGGTTTCAAAGATAGGTACCAACGCTGGTGGTGACGAGGTTTCTGGAAGTGAAAACAGCAAAGATTCATTCTCCATCTGATCATTAACAACGAGAGGTTTTGTCCCAGTCCTTCAGTAAGGTACCAAGGCTTGCACTATGTTACGTGCCTTTTTTCTTCTTCTTCTGTTTTTTAGAGCACCCTTTTGAAGCAGGAGTTTTGGTTTTAGGTTCTTTTTGGGGATCCAAAGTGCGTTTGATGAACGTGTAATTGGGCCCTTTTCTGCATATTTCTGCTTCAAAACCCACTAATGAACTTCACAATTAGAGGGTCTAAAAATGCAGAGCTAAAGGCTGAAATGCAAGGCATCATTCTCTACGGTGGCTATAACGCTGACAAAATCAGTGCCGTAATCTCTTCGGCTCTAAAGTTTAGCTCTACAGGGAAACTTGAGCTCGATAGGGAAGTAGTAGCAAGTATCGATCAGAAAATTTATCATGCAATGCAAGCAGGTTCATCATAAGGACGGCAGACAGCATGATTGGTCATGATCCGTGTGGCTCACCATGCATTTCGTTTGCCATTCCTCAACTAACAGGAGAACGTAGCTTGCAAAAATTGCAATTCCTCTTAATCAGTCATCCGATCATCAAGACAATAGCTCCAACCAAACAAAAACAAAGTCTAATCTTTCTGTTTCCTATCTAATTATATTTCTTTTCCATAAAAGAATTCATTATTCTAGCTGTTGGCATATTGTTGTCACATGCCAACTTACACAGCACCACGCCCACCTCCTACCTACATGAAAATATAGTTGTACTTACAAAAAAATATATAAAGAAATGAAAGAAAAGGTAACAGAAAAGCAATAATAATATAAAAATTATTGATTGACCATGTTTTGGTTGTGTTATCAATTGATATAAAAATTATTGATTGACCATGTTTTGATCATGTTATTAATTTAACTTGTTAACAATGACTTTATTTTAGAGGGGAAAATTTAATGAAAGTAGTTTTATCTTTAAATATATTGAAAAGTTGATTGAGACCTGTTAATTTATTTTTCAATTTATTTGATTTTGATTTTTTAACTGATTAATGAGTGTTTTAGACTTTTAAATATATTTATTGAGGTTTTTATAATGTTTTTGATATGTTTTTGAACAAATTTATTGAGGTTTTTATAATGTTTTTGATGTTTTTGAATAAAATAATAATAATAATAATAAAAATTAGGTTTTTAAATACCCAAAATCACCAATACTTATATCTCGATTTCTCAATCATAAAAAATGCATAAATGGACGACATGTCAACTTTCACATGACAACCTACCTTTAAATTTTTTTTTAAAAAAAAAACAATAAAGTGGATGACAAACAACAAGTCATCCTCTCCTTTTTTTTAATAAAAAAAAATTAAAAACCCAATTACGCAGGGATAAACCTTTTCTTATCAGCGAACAACACGCAGGCTTTCTTTTTTTTTAAAAAAAAAAGAATATAATTTTAAATAATATTCTCTCTCATTCTCTAAATTATTTAGTTTAATGTTTTTTAACATATTAATTAATCTCTTAAATGGTTTCTATAATTTCTTAATACTTTTTATAAAAGTATTCATCTCATAAGTTTTAATTACATAGTTTATTTATAAGAATGAAAATCATACACATTTAATAAATAGAAAATAAATGAAAATAAACTTATATAAAAAAAAAGAATGGTTATAAAAAATTTTAATGTCTGCATCTATTTTTTGCTTCTAAAAAAACAAAAAACAGTTCCTCGCTTAGATCTTTAATTCTAGTTAACAAATCTTATTTCATTTATAGATTCTTAAATATTTTCAATATAGACATTATTTTTTATTCTTTAAATTAACAAAAAATTATGATACAGAAAATGGGGTGACATTGCCGTCGCCCTTTTATTTTTAGGTTAAAAATTAATTTGCAATGCGCACGAGCGCACTAACTAGTTTTATCTAAACAATAAAAAGACAAGACAAGAGTAAAACTAAACAGGAAATTGATTAAAGGTTCATACATATGACAATGTCTGCGTTGGAGATAAATTTAGATCTGAATTTGATACAAATACAATTCTCCATTTATTTCAAGGACTGTAAATGGCTCTTATACAATATATACAAGCTATCTCTTGCTACTGAGAAAGAAAAGAAGGGAAATCCACAGAACGAACGTGACTACAGGTGCGAGCTACCATTAGAAGTTTGCTTGACGAAATTAAGAAGTCATCTCTGCTTTCTTGTTTGCTTTATCATCCAGCAAATCCCAGAAAACTGTAACACCAACCCAAAATCATAAATGATCAGTACAATCTGAAAGAACTTGGAAACCCTAACAAGGGAAGAAAAGATCAAGATCACTGGTCAATTAAAGAAGAACCAACCAGTGTTGGATCTTTGAATTATAAGCAGAATTAAATCAATACCAAGTAATGTTCTGATCAGGCAAAGCAGCCCTTTCAAACTTCAATTCACCTGGATTGAGGAAAGAAATGAACGAGAATTGGAGAGAAAATTGAGTACCTGAGGGAACGAAAGGCGAAGTGATGGGAGAGAATATGGAAGAAGAAATTAGCTCCGTGGAGCAACACCACTACTCCTGTGCAACTCAACAAAAACAGCTCCATCATATTTTCCCTTCTTCCCTCTTAATCAAAAACCAGAGATATTAACCCAATTAAGATGAAGAACTTCTGGGAGCGAACGGGTCGGTATAAAGCACGAGAAACGTTGGAACTGTCTGATTCTTAAAAGGCAAAGAAGATGAGGACGCTTACGTCAACTAACAAACTCTGTCCAATAATATTCTCTCTACAAACAACATTATTTTAGTCCTTCTTTTGAGGTCCTCTGATTGGATGATGGATGTGATCAATGGCATGACGAGATCATAGCTGTTGGATCTGAGAGGGTGGATGGAGATTGATGCACCTGAGCTCCGTAGAAACAGCAAGAGGAGATTTTATTTGTAGTCGTGGAATTCGAAGTTCTGGTTTTTTGGGTTGTTGACACTTGATAGACCTTTAGACTGCAGTGATGTGGGCTTCTTATCTTCTTTTCTTTTATATCCCATGGATGGCATGGCACATGCGATGACACTTTGGCGGTGCTTGCTGCCTTTGCCTCCGTCTCTTGGGGGACGCTAATGCTTTGGAACACAAGTCAAGCGGCCCTGTTTTATTTTTTATTTTTTATTTTGCATATATATATTCATCCAGGTCTATCTATATAACCAAGCAATATTATTTTTGCATCACCATTTTTCGTCAACTGTCGTCATAAAAGGCGGAAGGCATGGCCATTGTTTAGATGAAATGTTGATCTTTTTCAAAAATAATATTTATATAATAAATAATGTAGATGCATCAATAATTATTGTTTGGTGACTAAATAAATTTGGTCTAGGTGATGTTACTTCCCAAGCAGCTTTAGAATTATGGAGAGGAGGAAAAGGATACAACAGCTTTAGAACCCATCACATGCAATGAATTTTATAAAGTATTACAGCTAAAAAGCTACATAATAGAAACAAAGAGATTTTTTTTTTTTTTTGTTTTTTTATCGTCTTGTCCATCAATGAGTGATGGCTATTGCGGCGAGGTTCGCCGACCTTGAAGTTAGTCCGACACAGCCCTCCTGTCTAGCTGCACCGACTGCCGACCAGAGAGCAATACGCCAACTACGTGCAATACAGGGATAAGCAATAATTGAAGGATTGCTGTCCTATTAACATAGGCAGCACTGCTCTGTCCCTTTTTATTCAATCAAGAAATTTGTTTTTACATTTTCAAAATGTTTATAAGAGAATTTAAGGATTTTTTTTATTTTTTTAAAATTTTAAATAGCATCAACATGTTAAAATCAAAAATAAATTTTTAAAAATAAAAATACTTTAAAAAATATTTATAGTGACAAATAAATTATTGGAGGACAGATGATGATTAAAATGTTCATTAACCTATTCCTTTCCCCTCTTGACTTGGATAAAAAATTGGAGCAGCTTTTAAAGATGCCTTGAATAATGACTATCCTGATTGAAAAAAATAAAATAAAATAAGAATTGCCTACTTTAGAGAGATTATTATATAGATAAAGCTTGCCCATCCTCACAAGAAAATCTTTATAGGTTTTATCGAACTCAGCTTTCTTCATCACCCTGAAAGGAAATACAGTAAATTGGTAAAAATTCTAACTTGCTTAAGAAAAAATTTCAAGACTTTTTTTTTAATAAATATTAAAATGATGACCTCTTGGATTGATTTATACCAAACTATTAAACCCGTTGGGATTATGCAATAATGCTGTAGTTTCGTGGAAAAAAGGATTAACTTGCAATTTACTCTTAGCTTGCTAACAATTCAAAGTAAGTCTTGCGTGTTCTGGTAAAATTCATAATAAATATCAAGGAGTCCATAAAATATGGTGTTGCTAATGTAACATTGCCATTTACCGAAATTGAATTTTCCATGTGGAATTGAAAGGTACCATCTTTTCTCTGTGATTTGATCCTTGCCTAAAATATGGATAGCTTCCTCATGACCTGAAAACGCCAGACATTGTCAGCGTATAGTAAACGTTGTTCCCAGGAACCAATATTTTTTTAGCACTTCCAGTTCATGTTCTTGTTCTTTATTCAAAGTTCCAACAAACCCTTTTACATCAGTTCTAAAAAGGTTATTCATTCTCTCTTTTTGCCTCATTATATCTTCAAAGTTTGAGACTTCTTCCCTTCTCTTGTTGCGGGGATTCTTCATTGGATCTGATCAAGTCAAGGGAAACAGATTGAATCTTCAGAGTTTTTTTTTTCCATGTTTTTGTTAAATTTACTAGCAATCTATTGACCTGTCCATGAAGCCAGCATAGTTCTGCGGGAAAACATACACATTGGAATTATAATGTGACATGGAATTCCATATTTTTATTCCTACTCCAGTAGAGTCCAGCAACTCATGCCAGATACCTGTTAAGGAAAATAAACGGAAGAGTCACAAAGACGAGTCCAGGATACTTTTGCAGGGTACTTTTGTGTGGCCTGTTGAAAGGTAAACCTTAGTGATATCCGTTGACGAGTCTAGGATACTCTTCGTATTTGAAGATCTGGAAATTGATTGGAATTCCAATAGTAATAACAAATTGATATCCATTGACTTGTCTTTGATGCTATGTTTGAATTTTCTTGCGAATGACCCTGGAAAACATCCCTGCTAAAGCCTTATTCTACTGCACGTGTTTCGCCTCAAGATCTTGGTTTTTTCATGCATACCTAGCATAAATGTGTTCGCCCATGTGAACTGCAGAATCCGGCAAATCTTACATAGACTGCTGGCACAACTTAGCATATATTCAAATCATAAGTGATAGGAGAAGAACGTAATCTATAAACTGCTGGGTTTTGATGGGAAAAAGGCAATCTGGGATAGAAAACAGGGATTTTCGTATTGTAATGATTAATAGCTACCCCATGCAAAGTTTGGAAACAAAGTGGTTAGCAGATTACCTTTTGGAAGAGGGGAATCCATTAGAAGGCCAAAGTAACCTCAATTATCTGCAAGGATTTGATGGAAGCTAATGAAATTGTATGGACAGCTTATACAAATGCGACGAGACAGGAGTGCACTTGTTCTAGACAGTAATTTCCCCAGCTGAATATAGCTAAAACGTGACAACAAACCGAACTGCTTCAGAATGTCACTCTTTTTTTCCACAATCACAATTAAGTCTTAAACCACTGTAGACCCTTGCTTAATTCCTTAAAATGAATTAGAAACAACACCCAAATGTGCGTAGCCATTTCTGCCGACATGGAATATCATGAAGGACAAAACTGTTGAGCCTCCACTACTAAAGGATTCTCGAGCAGAAAGTGAGGCACGTATCCTAAAGAATCTGAAAATGATTCTTTAGAGGAAGAAGCCTAAGTGAATAAGCAGAAGTTAAAGCAAAAAATTAACAGAAAAGAGGTCCTATGAATCACCAACCAAAAGCAATGAGGTATTCATCATCACCAGTTCTTGATTCTTCTTTTTTTTTTCCAGCCCTAAATCGCGCTCTCCCATCACTTTCAGAGGAAAAAAAAAAAAAAAACAAAAACTGCATCATTATAAGCAAAACTAAAGGGGATAATCATAAAAGAACAAAACGCAAAACATCAAGCAGATTAAAGGAACAACAACGCCAAGAAAAAAACATAGAAGGCACACCAGTGAGCACAGTCGAAAAAGAAGAAAAAAAGACTGAAACAATGGAACTAATTGTAGGTGAAAAAAGGGTAGCATTATGCAAAATGCAGTACAAAAAAGCAAGGAGAAAAAAACAGTGACCTGCGTGTTGTTGTACGGAGGTGATGTTCGATATACTTTATGGACCTGCTGTTTGGTGAATCTTCAGTGACCTGCTTCCAACAGGTACAGTAAGTTGTACCCTGTACTGCATTGGACGGTGGTGAGCCTTCAGTGACCAGTTTCCAGCAGCCTCCCTCAGCCAATCCACGGTGTTTTCTCTATTATGTTAACAACAACAACAACAACAATAATAAAAAAAACAGAATCACCCAACAACTAAAATCATTAAAAAAAAACACTGCAATACTGGTAAAAGCCCGAAATATCGCCTAAAAACAACGAATTATATGAGAAAAAGAAGCGTTTCATTGGTTGATGTAATAAATCCGTTGACTGCTCACTTGCTCCAATCAACGAGGTGTGCCCTGTGCACTTGTATGCATTGATATTTAGTGGCGTGTGCAGGCACTATGTATGTTTGTGTCTATCAGTCTTTGCGATGTCTTTGTTTTTTTTTTTTTTTTCCCGGTCTAAATCTTAGAAAAATCCCTGACCTTATCCCAACTCCCTACCAACATGTAACCAAGCATCACCGTTTCCTTTGTCAGTTATGCCGTAGGGAGACTCCAACCTCCTATACTTAAGTTTATCAATGGCTGCCCCATACATATGGCCAAAAGATTTGAATTGCAGTATATTAAAAAGCCCTCAGCATGAGAAATGAGCGTATGGGATTGATAGCAAAGGAAAATAAAAATGTGATAGCAATACTTTTAACATTGATGTTTCTACATAAGGTTCAACATTGGCCACGGTTACAAGCTAGGTAGAGCAGCACAAGGATATCATGTCCACAGGTTAATGAACTGTGTAATATTGAAACTATTCCATGTCATGCATTTTTTGTCTAACAACTGAACGACAGAAGGAGAGGGCATAAAAGAGTTTATAATTGCCTCCTTCTAGTTGTTGAAAATAGAAAACGTCAATCATTACCTTGATTTCCACATATGTGATGGTGCTGCATTCTTTGCAGAAGAATCCTCAACACTTGTTCCCACATATTTTGAAATTTCTTCTGCTTTGGATGTAGAGAAATTTAAAATAAGAGATGAAAGGAATGAATCAGTGGCGGTATGAGACACATTACCAACAGTGTTATTTGATCTATAACCACTGTCCCCTAACAACACTTGAAGATGAGCGTTATAGAGATCTCGGCCAAGGAGAGACAATCCCTGACTGTTAGGAATTGAAACTCTACACAACCTGCGATGTCTCTGCAGGTTATCTTTAGTTAAGGGAAACTTGGGTGCTAATTCGATTTTTGTCAACAGATACAAAGCTTAGCATTTAAACTTGCATAGATTCTCACAATGAAAGAGAAATATGTGTAACGTTATACAAACTTTCTATACAAAATTCTCTTACAAACACCTGTATCAGTTAAATTTTTCATGGGAGACCAATCATTTGAAATTCATGGGACCCACACTTTACAATTTATAAACTGGCACATCAGTTTGAATGGAGATTTAGTATGAAAAGCTTGTTGTAAATCATTTTCTGAGAAATATTTGAGTGGCGGAAGTTTTCAACTGAAGGATATCTTGAACAAGT